AAATTTACTGATAGTGAGCGGAAGTATTCCACCACTGAAAAACAGAGTGTGCCGCAATTCTGTATGGAATAAAAAAACTGAAAAGGGTATATAGATGGGCACAGACTAAATTTTCAATTCAAACGGACCATAATCCCCTAGTATGGCTAAAAAAATAATGCAGGTAGAAATGGTCGATTATTACGCTGGGCCTTAGCCTTGCAATCTTATAATTTTACGATACATCATAAAAAGGGAAGTGACAACTTAAATGTAGACTGCTTAAGTAGAAACTCTGTACATGCCAGTTAAATAGACTAGTTATCATTTCTTTTAAGTTGTCTTGTTATTTATTATGTATATTGTTTTTTTTTTGTTTTTTTTTTTTTTTAAATTCATACTATATAGTAAATTGTTAGCTTTATTCTTAAAGACAAAAATTTTTGTGTTGGTTTTCCATATATTGTATATGTATTTTTAAATATGTTTTTTTTTATGATGGCCTGGTTATGAGAGTGGAGAACCTTTGTAACAGTGTGGGTTTAAAATTAACTGGTAAAATGTTGAACAATCTCTATTGAAACCAGAAACTGTGAACTGTGAAAAAAGAAAAAAAAAAGTTTACTTCTCCTGTGTCCGGAGAAACAAAAACTGGAGGCGGAAAGGTGTTTGTTTGTAGCGAACGCCTGCCTGAACTTGTATTTTATCCTGTAGGAACTTAAAAAAGTTTTGTTCCCTCTGTGTCCGAGGAAAACAAAATCTGGAGGCAGGAAGGAGTTAGTCTGTAAAGAACGCTCCTGAACTCTCTACTAGAAAGACCTACAATGCTTCTCGACTAGAGAGAACGTTCGTTAGCAGACTCCTCACACTACGAGTACTATAATTCATTTTAAACACCTTATTAAAGAACTGTGAATGGCAACGACTTAACTGAGAATTACGCATGCGTAAAGAGATGAGACTTCTGTTAGACGCCTGTCAGAGAGTTTGGGAAGCTTCCGCCAGCGAGCTGAGGTGTGGAGACTTTTTTCGAGTGATGACGAGTGCTATCTTCGTTAACGTCTCTGATCGTGTCACCAACTCGGATCTACTAAAGTTTTCTAAATGTATTAATTAAATGTTGTATCTGTGGTATGTGCTGTAATTAAAGTGATGCATCACCAATACCAGTGTTGATTCCGTTCCCAATGAAGCATCCACGACGTCACACCAGCATAATGTTTGTATTTAAACATTAAAAAAGTAGAAATTAAATGCCATTCGTATAAAATGATCTGGCTGGGTCTAAAACAAAAGCTGAAATTTAAGAGAAGAGAATACAGTATGAGGAAAATTCAATGCTAGATTCAGACATGAAGTATGAAATTACATTACCTTGGTTAGACCCTTCTCTATTGCCTAGTAATAAAGAGTTCCCAGAAAAATTCCTGACCATATCGCATTGAGAAAATTATTACATTTGAAACAAAATTTAAGAGGAAGTATTTGATACTTGGTTGAACAACCAAATTAACGTTGCCTCACAGTCCAGAATCTAATGCAACAACATTTGTTGTTGTTGTAGGCCAGTTTTTGAAGCTTCAGCACATGAAGTGTTTTCCTTAAATTACTATCTGGAGAAAGGCCCCGACCTCATTGAAATAATTCTGATACAGTTAAATCATTTTCGAAAATACTGCAGTAATTTCAGACATCAAGAAAGTTTTCTTTCAAACAAGTTTATGGAAGAAAAACTTGTTTGCAAGAAAACTTTCTGGATATATTAGAGGGTGACAGGTGAATTGTGAAATCTAAATAATTCTGAACTCTAAATTAGAAGTGTATGTTTGTGTTTTAGGGTTAAACTACAATTTAAAAGATGACACTCTTTTCTGTAAAACTGAGTCACAAAAGGAACAGGAAATTATGAGTAAACAAACCTTCTTTCTTGTGCATACAAGCTGTTTGATCCCATAGGCTTCATTTCTCTCATTATTCTCCAAGTTAATGTTAGTTAGCAAGTTAAGAAAGAATAGTGGAAATTACAATTAAATTGGGATAAAAAAATTCTTGAACAATTAAAAAAGTCTATGAAATGGGTAAAAGAAATGAAGCTTCGCTTTAATGTGAAAATTCTAGATTGGATTGGAAAACTACGAAGTTAATCTCCATATTTTCTACAGTGCAAGCATGCCTACCCTACCTTATTTTAAAAGACTGAAGATCAAAAAACATGTTTACTAAATTGTGTGCCAGCAGGCACTCTTGTCATCATTCCTCATTTGGTGTTATTGTTCTACTTAATCAGACCATGCTCAAGAAGTGCAGTCATTTTTTAGTTGAATAATGCCATATATGAAAACATTCTACATGACCAACTCAACAGTCTTTTTGAGCTAGATTCAGCAAGATGTTTGATGGGGAACTTTCATTTTTAATCACAAGTAAAGAAATAGGAACACTCAAAAATAGAGGACTGGTGACACATCTCTTCAGAGCTAAATGCAGCCAGCCTCCCATTCTGTTCAGAGACTGTTTTTGTAATCGAAATGGCGAGAAGGCCCTGCAAGGCTGTTAGAACCACAGTCATCATGATCTAAAAGTGCTGGCTTGCTGGACAATGAAATCGTAAATTCAGAAAAACATAGATCAGTACTGACAGTTCTTAATAAAGATTCTAAACCTGATAACAGTATTATATGTGCTTTTTGTTTGTAGTCAACGTTGTATGCATTGTTAGCTCAGATCAGGGCTGAACAGCATTTGGCCTAGTGAATGATTTTCTGCGGCTCATCACTGATCTTTTAATAATGTAGCTTCCACCCAAAAAAAGGAATTGATTAAAACTATAAAACATGTTTTGTTGAGTACATTTGGCTTGTTTTAATAAAAATTTTTATTTGAAAGAAAAAAACTGATTTTGTTGCAAGGACCAAAAAATATTATTAACGCTGTTACAAAATTTCTCCAGTTTTTCTTGAGTTACATTAAAAATATATATATATATATAATATTTTCGTAACTGTAGCAAAATTTTGCTGTTTCTGCAAATGTTGGATTGTTGTGTGTTTTCATGTAATTGAATATGAAAATTATATAAACCAAAAAAAGTTGTGCTGTAAAAAAAAGCTGAAAAAATAGTGATAAGGGAGACAAAATAGTGCTACTGCCAAAACACATTTTCCAAATTTTGTTTCAACATGATTCAAGAGCTTCTTCTCTCATTGAAGTAGTTGTGAAAGTAATTTAAATTATTTGGTACAAGTGCCATATTTGCACTTTGGCAGCTGAGACTGATGGTTCAGTAAAACCATCGAAACTACTCCTGTGAAAATTTGCAAATATAACGTTGATTTTTGGTGTTTGACATCTAAATTAATATTTGTCCGGCAAGTTATTTTAACCTAAATTCATTCCATATTTTAAAAATGCCCAGAAGGAAGACATTAGAAGAAGCCTTTCAGATTTTTGATGATGATAATGACCCAAATGAAATTGATGTTGTTGTTCCACCAGATATCGCAGAAGCTAGTGATGAAGAAGAAGGGAATGATAATGATATTTTACCAAATGATACAGCAGAGGAAACTGAAGTTCACATAAGAAATAAGTTTCAGCCTTCTAAAAACAGTGATAATCATACAAAAAGGTTTAAAAAACAGAAAATTGAAAACTTGAAATGGATAAAAAAGAATTGTCAATTATGATTTCAACTTCTCTGTCATCTAAATAATAAAGGTTTTAGTGCTATAGGAAGAATTCAAGAAAACCGAATACAAATGTGCCCACTATAAATGGTTAAATGTGTCCATAAGAAAGACAGGTGTTATATGATTTCTAGTATGAAGAGAGAAACAATATAATTTTTGTCCAATGGAACAACAATTTTGTTGTAACTGTTGGTTCAACATCTGGAAAAATTTAGTCTGTAAAAACTGGTTCCTGTTAAGCAAGAAAGCAAAAGAAAAAGGTTTTTGTATCTGAACCTCATCTTATTGAACAATACAATGCCAAAATGGGAGGAGTTGATTTATACAACAATTTTGTAACCAGTTGCACAATAAGAGTTAGTAGCAAAAAAAGGTGGTGGCCAATATTTACTAATTACACTGATGTATCTTTGACAATTACATTGAAAATATCACGACATTCTAGTACTGGAAATAAAAAGTCCCTTTCAGATTTCAGATGCGAGAGTGAATTATTCCTTTCACAAACTCTTACTGAAAGTGTAAAATTAGCCAGAAATAGATCAACAACAGAAAGACCTAGTAAATTCAGCATTCAAAAGCCACTGCATGGAGATTGTAGACATTTTATTGCAAACTTCGAGTATAGCAGAAGACTTTGTTGTAAAGAATGGTATAACCAGACTGTTTATAGATACAAAGTACATAATGTAGCTTCACATCATGATTATAGTGAAGCTTTTCATGCTTGAATCTTTCAATTGAAAATAATCTGTATTTGTGAAAAAAATTGAATGTAAATTTTAATGTTAAATTAATTATAAGTAAGGTCATTTTTAGATTTATAAAACATTATACAACTAAAAAGTAATCCAGTGCTCCACTCCCAAACTTCCGTATTCTTATTCCGCTGACGTTGCGCAAACACAACACTTGGATTTTTCCACAAGTAAAAGCATCTTTTTTTTTTTTTATTTTCAATGTAAATTTATGTTATAAATACTTAATTTAATACATATTATTATTAGTATATGGGAAAAAAAATCATTCCTTTTAGTTTTGGCAGTTAATGGGTTAAGCATTTCTCTAGAAATCTGAAAAAAATGTGTAAAGTGTCTCGGACTTTTAGTTACATAGTGCTGCATTTTATTTGATAACGTGTCTGAGACTTTTAGTTACATAGTGCATTTTATCTGATAATATTTCATATAAAGTGGTAAAAGGAAAACATTCACAGAAATAAGATAAAATTATTGTGCAGCTTAAAATAAATCAATTTCATGCGAGTCAAAAACTAAACATTCTATAAGAGTTTCAGGATTAGCAAAAGACTGAAATACAGGTTCAACTTACATAAAACTACTCAGAATTTGTTTAGTATCATCATTGACTCGAGAATTGGCAAAACTGATACTGGAACAATAAAGTGCAATCCAAGCACACCATTTCAACTAAAAAATAAAATTTTACAATTAAATTTCTCATAATTTTCATGTTCAATGTGCAAGTAACAATTAACATAAAATTAACGTTCTTGTAATTAAAACTATTAATTATATTTAAAACTACAATCAGCATTAGAAGAAAAAATGGTACTATTCAGTTTTGAGGGTCGTAAAAAAATCGCCAAACTATTGTTGATGCCAGTGCTGCCATAAATAATTGCGGCAACCCTAATGCAAGAAAGGAAGTATAATAGTACATAACTATCTAAGATTGATGTTTTAATTTAGATGAAAGGTTAATTTCATATAATACTTTTTTTATTATTATAATTTATATAAAAAAAAAGGCTAAACATAAATGAATGGATGCATAAAAGTAAATAACTATTTCAGATCATTATTATAATTTATATAAAATTTGCTAAACACAACTGAATGGATGCCTGCATCGCTATTTCACTATTTAGTTATCGCTAAAGCATAATTTCATCTCGTTGGTTGTTCAAACATAATTTTCTATAATGTATGATGCCTTTTCTTTGAAAAAAATTCTTGGTAAGTGCAGAATCGCCCACTTATTTGTTTGCTGCTTTTTACAAGGGTAAAAACAATTGGATTTTTGTCAATTTTCTTTTACTTTTTAAGTGAAAATAGGTTGTCGTGTACATAGATAAAGGGTATGGACAGTGCCATTTTTGTGCAATTCTGAGATTTTTTTTTAAGTGAAAATAGGTTGCTGTGTACATAGATACCGAGTATGTGCAATTCTTAAAAACATGGCAAGCAGTGGGTGATTCTGAACTTTACCCAAAATTCTATTGCAAACTTTCGTCATGGGCAATTCCCAAATTGTTAAATCCATAGGATATCAAAAAAGAATTTAAAAATTAAATTAGTATTTCAATGGTGTCTTAAAAAATATAGAACTATATAAATTTACACAATCTGAAATTAGCGCATACGCTAGTTTTGGCGCACTGTTTAAATGGGCGCGTTTGCTAGATTTGGCACTTTTGCGCGTACATTTTCACTGCAATTTTTTTACGGTTCTCAAAACGGAATAGTACCGTCAAAATTTCAGAATTCTACTTCATCTTAAAATCACTATAATGTATTAATTAGTTTAATACATTGGTACTTAGGTATTAATGCAGCCACCTTAGTAGAAGTCATAAAATTTTCAGAATGCGCCAAACTATGGCAGCTATGCTCATAAAAGCCCTTCAGTCAAGTAACACAGACCTTTTTGTATGCGCTACGTTCTTTTTTTTTTTTTTTTTCTTATTCCCCATTCCAACTGTTTTTATAAACAAATTGTGATATTTTTTGCCTTAATCTTATTTTTAAAATATTAATACACAGAATTTTGCTTAAAGTACTCTAAAGGGAACAACAAAATGCATTCCCTAGATAGCTGTTTTACCGAGGTTTGGACAAAGCCAGGCCTCTCCAATTCTTTAATGTTTCTTTAAGCAAAAACAGATCACTGTGTACTTCAAGTAAAGGACAGTGCAAAAAAAAAAAAAAAAAAAAAAATTACAGAAAGATTTGAAGAAAAACGTAATCGCTTTAGATTTTTATTTTTATTTATTTTTTTTTTTTTTCTGCATCACTTAATCCTCATTTAATACTTCAAATTTGTATTTTAAATAGCTAAAGTAGTAAGTTTTCTCTTCATATGTTGATGATGTTTCCCGGCTTACAATAAACATCGACAGTTTGGGAATTTTTCTTAAAAAAAAAAAAAAAAAAAAATTAGTGAAGCACCAAAAACCACTAACTTGCACTGTATAGGTAACTTCTGTCTTTTCATCTGTAAAAAATTGTCTAATTGTACCAAGATGGTTGTGTTAATATACAAGTACCTAAACATTTAAAATGCTTTAATTATAAGACTAAGTTTTGTATATATTTAATACAAACACATATAAATCTACATATTCTACATAAATATATCTACATATTCAGTACGCATAAACATTTTAATACAATAAAAATAAATTATCAAAGCATAAGTTTTATGAACTGCATACACAAAGTCCTTAAACAGCCTTTAATGTTAAAATGGTTGGTCATAGACAGCCAGCTACAGACGTGTTTTAAATGATGCATATACAGTCAAAAGTCGTTAATTCAGACACCCATAATCCGGAATGATCTATAATCCGGACCTCAAAGCTAAAAACTTTCTGCGCATGCACCGCGTTGGCACATGCGCACAGGCGTTTTACGCGTGCACGTAAGACCTTGACTACTGCGCATATGCGTGTGCGCAAGTGCACAATACGTTTTCGCCTGCGCGTTTAATGTATAACGGATGGTGTAAGCTAAAATTATCTAATTATCTATTTCAGTTAATGTTAATGATTGCGTTGTTCCTTAATCTTTCGATTTGGATCCCGCTTATTATTTTTTGCAAACTGTAAGAGGGCAATTTTATAAAAGTAAACTTGAATTTTCGATTATGTCAAATAGAATTTCCCCGATGCTGGGAACTTCCAAAGGATCTACGAACGAAAGTATGTTTCGATGTCCAACAACAAAAAGTGAATTGCTGCAAAAAATGGATAAAGACATGAAGAATGTGACAGAGAGGTTAGCGAAAAACGAAAAAATTTTCGATTGATAAGTTAGTCGGTATTTCTCGGCACAGCAATTAACGGACTTGAACAGCGGAACTTGTAACTGAACAAGAAATTATGTCTGTTTATAGAATTAAAGAGAAAGTATTATCACATAAAATGAAGCAACTTAAACAACTTACATTGAAAGAAATGTTTAATAAGTAAGAAAATAAATATTAACCTTTTTTTTTTTTTTTAAATTTTTATACCCTTTAGATCATAATTGTTCTTTATTTCATAAATTACAGTTTCATATTTTTAATTTTAGAATTTCTGCATGCCATCTTACGAGATTTAAACCGATGATCTATAATCCGGAAAAATCGATAATCCGAAATCGCCGAAGTCCCGATGAGTCCGGATTAACGACTTTTGACTGTATTCATGTTTTGATACTCTTAAATTATAAAAATTACAAAATCTGACCCTTTACATTTTCCCTGGTCCCTACACTCACATTTTTGAAAATATGATTTTAAAAAGCACAATGTGAAAAGTGTTACTTTCATGCAACAAAAACTGATGAAGAAATTTAGTTTTAAAGTTAAGCATCACATTCATGAGCTATCCCAAATTGAAGACTGATGTATTTGCATTTATATTTATGAAAAGATAGAAAAAAGCTTTTGATGATAACAGATTAAGTAACGTGCATTTTATACATATTATCATGTAAAGTACTGATCAACAAACTTTTCAAAAAGATCTTATTCCTGTAAGAACTCTGGTTCTAGAAAACATCGACAGGCTTCAGAATTGTCATTTTGTCAATTCATAACCATATTTACATAAATTAAAAGTATATTTATTGAATTTTTGTTTGATTTTTAGATTAGGTTTCTAATGTAATAAAACTGCATGAGAATATTAATAAAGTATTTTTAATATTTGAAAACTTATAAATTATTCACATGAAAATTCTTTTGGCATGCCAAATAAAACAAAATTATAAATCAAGGAACATTAAAGATCAGTAAAGCACAAAATATTACTGAAGGAAAATTCAACATCCCATTATCCTGAATTATTAATTGAACCCACAAAGCAAGTGAACATGACTTCGAAAATCACAAATTTTGATTGGTTTGGTTTATTTAATTACAGGAAAGCCTCGAGGGATATCTGCCTAAAGGAGGGATGCCTTTGTGGAGGACTTTCTAAGGAAACCTGACTCGTACACATGGGGAAAAACACAAAAATGCCACGCAGCCAGCCCTCAAACTACCAGTTTTCAATGACTACCGCTCGGCTGCTGGTGGGCACACAAATTTTGAAATTAATTCTCATTCAATTTCTGTGGCAGTTGAAACATTTAATATATTAATATACAAAATTAATTTTTTTTTAATTTAAAATTGCATAAGTGTGTATCTTTACATCATTTAAAACATTTCTATATATGAAATTATATCTACAACCAATGACTGCATAAAGAAAAGCTAGGTAAGGATTTTTGTGAACACATGGTTTACATAAGTTTGACAAAAATCCAATGTGATAATTAACCTAGTATGTACCATGCATTACTAGATTATCAACAATATGGCCTATATATTAAAAAAAAATTATAATGATACATGTATCACATGGTTGAAGCTACGAGAATGCAGACTAAATTACACAGAAATTTTGATTTATTTTCAAAGTAAATGACAGAAAAAAATTGCCTTTTCAATGGTTTTAAACTAGCACACACAAAATGCCATCTCTTATGTCTCATTTTTTTATTCTGAAACCATACAAATAATTAATTTCTGAAATGTAATAAAAATTTATTTTTAAACACATTTCAAAAATTCAAATAATTTAAAAATTCTATGTCTAAAGTTAAAGAAAAAAAAAGAAAGGCTGATCGGCTAATCTTTGGAATATGGTAACAGGTAGTTTGGCGACATTTTGGTAAGGCGATAAAGGTTACTAGCTAGTATTTTAGCAGTGTACATGGATAAAATCAAAAGTGTGTGCAATGCCATTTTTGTTCAATTCTGGGCTGTTTTTTTAAGTGAAAATAGGTCGACGTGTACATGGATGATACCGTGTATGTGCAATTCTTAAAAACGTGGCAAGCAGTGGGCGATTCTGCACTTTCTCCCAATTTCATACCTAATCTTCGTCATGATTAAGCATTTTTGGGTTGATCTTTACAATATGGTAACTGGTAGTTTGGCGACATTTTGGAGGCGATAAAGGTTACTACCTGGGACTTTGGTAATAATGTGAGGCAGTACTCAGTTCCGATTACGCATTATTTTACGTGAGGAAATGAGAGATCATGGGATATGTCATGTGACATTAATGGACGAATTACGGTTCTTTAATCGGAAAAGGGGGGAAATCGGGAAAAAATCTGGAAATTTTGTATTTAGCTTTATTCTGTGTTGTGTGAAACAGTGTTTGTTAATTTTTGGATCCCATGGCCCTAACTAAAGTGAATTCGAATGGGTATTTAGGCATTGTGATAAAGAGAGTTTTGCTTTTTATTTAGTGGGGAAGTATGGAGAAAATTCGCAGAAAAAATCTTTCAATATTTTATTGAATGATTAGAAAGTGTATCCGCCGTAATCAGATTCTGAAGAAGATTAGGTAAGTTAGTATTTTTAATTATTTGAGAATATTTTTTATGCATTGTTCTAATGTAAGGTGAAAGGAATTTGGTATTATGGAAAATTGTTATTAGCAATGATTTAGTTTAAAGTAATTAGGATTGTAAAAGGTAATTTTTATTAATTTATGTATGTGCTCATTTCTATTTTAAGTCGTTTTTTTAATTTAATTATTTTTAATGAATGATAGTTATTTTGTGAATTTTTACGTTTGGAGGAATTTGGTATAATTTTTAGCTGAAGTAAACGTGCATGGAAATAATTTAAATATCTGACACTAAGTATTTGTAATGGTTGCGGTATGAATTCGTTGGTGACGTTTTAATATAATAGATGATTTAGAGGTAAAAGTTTTTTGGATATTTTTTTATTTATATGTGGAAATGTTCATATTTGGAAAGGGTAATACCTTTTTCGCGATCAGGTAATTCATATATGTTCTTTTTACCGGGTTTAAAGATTGAGAAAATTGTCATGTATTTTCGTGAAATTTTTCTAATTTATGAGAAAAAGCAGTGTACATGGATATAGTGAAGAGTGTGTGCAATGCCATTTTTGTGCAATTCTGGGATGTTTTTTTAAGTAAAAATAGTCGACGTGTACATGTTTAGTGATATTTTAATTAAATGATAGTTATTTGTGAATTTTATGTTTGTAGGAATTTAGTATATGTTTAAGTTGAAGTAAACGTGCATGGAAATAATTTACATTTGATACTAGTATTTGTAATGCTTGCGGTATGAATTCGTTGGTGACGTGTATAATGTAATAGATGATTTAGAGTAAAAGTTTTTGGATATTTTATTTATTTTATATGTGGAAATGTTCATATTTGTAAAGGGTAACTACTTTTTCGCGATCAGGTAATTTCCTATATGTTCTTTTTACCACGGGTTTAAAGATTGAGAAAATTGTCATGTATTTTCGTGAAATTTTTCTAATTTATAAGAAAAAAGCAGTATACATGGATATAGTGAAGAGTGTGCGCAATGCCATTTTTGTGGCAATTCTGGGATTTTTTTTTAAGTAAAATAAGTCGGCATGTACATGGTTTATGGTATGTGTTATTTTGAAAAACGCGTAAGAAGTATGGTATGTGGCACTTTTTCCCAATTTTGCAGTGAATATTTGTCCATGATTAAGCAGTTTTGTTTGATAAAATTTCTAGCATAAGTGTAATTCGGCTAGTAGATTGTTGGAAGAAGTGTTCAGTAGATAAAAGAAAAAGAAACATGTCTTTACTTCGTGAAGACAAAATGGCGGCGGGAAAAAAAAATAGAGGTTGCTGTAGGAGGTTGGTTGCCAAATTTTCGCCAAAAAATCGCCAAGTTACCATAATGTAAAGATCAACCCATTTTTGTTCCATAAAAGTTCTAGTATAAGCGTAATTCAGCTAGCAGATTGTTGGAAAAAATGTTGAGTAAAAAAAAAATGCCTTTACTTCGTGAAAACAAAATGGCGTCCAAAACAAAACTAGCAGGTTGCTGTAGCAGGGTTGGTCACCAAATTTTCGCCAAAAAAACGCCAAGTCACCATAATCCAAAGATTAACCGGCTAATCAGACAATTAAAACCAGTTTACCATATTACAATAGCAGATTAATACATAAACTATATTTTAGCCTTAACTGAAACAGCAATATGCATATTTTAAAGTATCAGTTATAAGAAGTACAAAATACAAGGTTAAGAAGTGACCAAACTGGCCAAATGGAAAATTCTCTTGAAATCACAATATTAATAACAGACACAGTTATCACACGACCATTGCTTTGTAGAAACAAATTAAGTTTAGCAAAATCTTGAGCTAAGTTTGTATTATAATTATTATGAATAAAACAACTATACATTTTCTAAAAATATAACTATACTCAGAAAATACTCGGAAATGGGTACTTTTCAATTATACACCTGCCATGCTCTTGGGGCTTGTGAAAGAGAAGCCAAACACTTGTTTTTTAAATGTAAACAATTTCTAGTGATAAAAATAAATAATAGAAGAGAATATATTTATTTTCAGTTACAGTTGTTGGGTCTCAGGCAAGTGTTTGAATTTTCTTTCTTAACCACCAAAAAGTGTGGCAGGTGCTTAAAGGAAAAGTAGCCAGAAATTTTAAATTCAGATTTTACTGAAATGTTATTCTTCATCTGTACAAAAATAATTTACAAGCAAAATTTCATAAAAATTATATGAACAGATCAGTTATAATCTTACTTTCATCATAAGTCCAAACATACTACAAAACATGCTAAGAACATTCATATAATCTGGAATGGGATCATCTCCAGGACCACCAACAGCATTTGAAGTTGGAGCTTTATACCTAAATAAAATTTTAATTCAGCAATTAAATAGAGAAAAACAAAAATTGATTATACAATAATTTCTTAATTTGGTTAGCCTTTATTTAAGGGTGCCCCTTGGATTATCGACAAGTTGTTTCATTTATGGTAAACGTAGTAGTTGAATATTATGAAAACCCTATTATGACATAATTGATTGTGTGAGTGCAGTGAATTTGCCTGATGTGAAACGAATTGAAAGGGCTTGTTTGTGTGTTAGATGTTGGCTAGTAAGTACATTGCCTATTTTGCGGAAAATGGTAAAATGGCTTTTTTTTTTAATTTTACATGGTAAAATGGCTGAATGTGGTAAGATTGTACGATTTGGAACAAAACAGGGAAAAAGCATTAATTAACCGGTACGTAAATGAAAGTTTACTTAATAGCCATAATATGTGTCCTATTTGAACAAAGGAAATGAATATGGTCAAACATCGGAGGATATCAGCACTAAGGAGGATATGGTTTACTCTTATTTTTGTGAATTTATGTTGCAACACCAGTATACAGATTCTAGTTCAGATAATTTTAGGAAATTTTGGATGCTGTTAAGGAATTCTGTGTGCCACAGACTGAAGACAAGGAAATTTCTAAATAACATGAGTGGAGATTTCCTTTGTGTAGTGCTTAGATGCTACAAGATTGAATTTCCTTTTTTATGTTATTTCACTGGTTTGATTTAAAATGTAGTTTATTGAGATTATATACTTTTTGTTTGGCTCTAGTATAGAATTGGCTGCCCCTTTGACTTTTTAAGTGAAAATAGATTGATGTGTACATGAACAAAGTCAAGGGAGTGCGCAATGCAATTCTTCGATTTTTTTTAAGTGAAAATAGGTCAATGTCTATACGGATACTGAGTTTGTGCAATTCCATGATTTGTTATTTTGGCTCTGTGTAACGACAATTTTTGGCGCAAAAGACCAGGTAGGTTAATACTTGTTTTAATAATAAATTTACATGAACAAAGGTAACATGAGTCAAAGATAGTGTTTGGCGACAGATAATGCGAGGCATGAATCACATCTATGGTACATGAAATTCCGAATATTCTGGAATATTCCAGGTAAATCTCAAATTTCCCTGGCAGCTACTGCAATTCATGCAACCAGCCCCAATAAAAAGAAATCAAGACATGATAGGTCTGGTGATCTAGCAGGCCAATGCACCGGACCACCATGTTCAATCCACTGTTAGCCAAATTTGATGTCTAGGCGGGTACAAACATTAGGGCTGAAATGGGCAGAGGCTCCACCATGCTGGAACCACATTGTTGCATCGATACAGAAATCTGTTCGTCATCTAAAAGTTGTGACATGACTTGCTGCAGAAAGATCAAGCAGTCACAACCAGTTAGACGAAAAGGTAATAGGTAAGGTCCGATGAGGTAATCCCCCACAATATCGACCCAAACATTATGCGAATACCAACTCTGTGCTGCATAACATAAGTGTTGCATGAGGGTTCTCTACTGCCTAGAAATGAGCATTAATGTGCATTGAATATTTCTTCCCTTGTGAAGAATGCCTCATCGGCAAATAACACATTAGCAGGAAAATAGGGATCTGTAGCACACTTTTCATCCTTCTACAAAAGACCTGTTTTGAAGCAGCTCTGAAAATACCACGTTCCAACTAACCTCCAGTGCAGCCTTGCAAAGAAATTATGGCTGGGTGTACTCCTGGCAGGATATCTTTCTGTGTACAAGTGCTGTGCGGTTAACCAACTACAATCTGCAGACCCGTTGCCAAATGGGTATCAGCTAACTCCATGTTCATATAATTATCCATCCTACTAACTCTGCGGACTTGTGTGAAATGACGATGCCAAATGGATCAGCTAACTCTCCGTTTGTATAATTATCCATCCTATTAACTCTGTGGCCTTTTGCGAAATGACGATTCCTGGCCAGAATTCTCGGAACTTTCCACAACACCATCTAGCAAGTCAGAAAAACATTTCAGGCCCTGCATTGCTTTAGGATTCTGAATTGTTAGGGTACATCCTACCCCTTCTAGAAGTTTTGAAACATGGTACTCGGACATCCTTGTAATACTCTTTTTACACACACTTTTTTTTTTTTTTTTTAGAAAATTAACCCTCTGAGCATTATGACTGGCTTTATCCGGTCATCAGAAGTTTTGCTACTTGCCATATATTAGCTTATAATTTAAGATACTTTGCTTTCTTACTTTCTTTAACTAAAATAAGTAATTATACAAACTCAATTAATAATGATGCTGTTTCAATACTGGTCTTCACGGCAGATCTAAAATCCTGTGCCGCTCAGAGGGTTAAAGTAAATTTATACTTATTTTAAATATTTTTCAATCTTATCTTTAATTTTACATTACATACTTTCTTTATTTATTTTTTTCTTATCATTACACTATGATTTTTACCTACTAAAAGCAGATTAACTAGCGTGTTTCTTTATTTTAAATTTTGTTTTATAAAAACCCCATTTGTTTTTCTAACATGCTGTTAGCAAAAATGGCCAACAATGTTACTTTAGAAATACATAAGGATATTCGAAATAAGTCTCTTAATTTTTTTTTTTTTTTACTTTTGTACAATATATTGTAAAATTTCACATGTTATTTCTATCTAGTTTTGTTTTGTTCTTGACTCTGAAAATCAGGCATAAAAAATTTTGTAATAAATTTGTTTTGAATATATAATTTTTAATTTTTTTATTCACTCAAATAGTCAAGGAGGATAAAATGCATTTTCAGATCACCTTAACTGTTCTTGTTTAATGTTTTAAATAATTAATTACCTCCTGAAGACTCCGTTTGAAACATTAAACTACGAATAATTAATATGCAGATTGTCAAGTGCTTTAAAAATTTTTCTTAATTTTAATAAATTAATGCAAAATTGTTTAATTAGCTATTTGTTTACTTAATATATATTTTCCAATTACAACAGTTCTTTTCACTTTCAAAAACAGTACAATCTTTTTAGTGTGAAAAATTATATATATATATGCAAGATATAACAAAGTACGATGGCTGCACTAAGAAATGCTTGGCGACCTCAAAATTTACTATTCTAAATTCCAAGTTCATTGTTTCTCCCAAATTCGAGATCTTTCTAAATTACATAACGCTGCTTGCAAAAGGGAACTAAAATTAACCAATCGCAGCTTAGCTGTACATATGCACCTACTTAGTACAAATACTGCTTCGTGAGCAATTACATCATTCCTTTTCCTAACTTCTGACCTGCAAACATCTCTGTGCTATGCTTTCCTGTCATACCTGTTTAATCCATGTACATACAAATTTTGTATTCAACCATTATCAAAAAGTAACTTCTCTGCCAAAGAAATGATTTGATATGCGTGAAAATAAAGCTATTGTGATCCTTCAAACTCAGTTTGGTCTACTTCATCCTCCTGCCTTCACCCTCAGCCATGATGTCTGTCGGAAATTAAGTGTCGGGTTTCCTCTACGCATTAAAATATCACGTATATACATAGATATATATGGCATTTTCCTATTGTGCACTTGCCACACGTAACAGAAAAGTACAGCACGTATGCATAACGAAAACATATCTCGCAAGTTTCAACCATCTATAAATTATTCTTATGCCAAAAAATCATTTACAATTAAAGTGTGTGGCAAACACATAATGCAAAAGTACCACGTATTTATACACAAAAGTAAGAGAATTTTAAGCGTGTAATTCTACTAAAAGGGTAATTTGCCCTCAAGCAGAAAAATTAATCACTGTTTAACATGTTGAGTGATACGTCAGTCACCTGTGACTGATACTGAACTTTCCATTCAGGCAACGTTAGTCACCGGTGGCTGATACAACATTTCGATCAAGCCACATTAGTTACCAGTGACTGACATTGAACCTTCTGATCAGGCCATGACAGTCAACAATAACTGACAATGATAAATATGATTTAAAACTAAAACAAATTAATGGATAACAATCTTAGAAGTCCACTTGGTACTGCTATACCACAATACTAGTGGACGTGGCCTGAACAAGAATTTCCTAATATATTCGCAAGGCACTCAACATGTTAATGAAAGAAACATTTTTTAACTTAATATAAAATTAACTTTTAAATGACAAAATAATTAAACAGTTAATCCGTTAGTTTGCAACTTATGAAATATTTTTACAAACAATTTCGGTAAAATAAAAAGACGGCAAATAATAATAAAATGAAATATGGCCTTGTCGGGTATAACTTAATTTTTTTATAGTTACAAATTACATTTCAAAATATTATTGCCAAATGTTTGAAATGTAAATATTTCGAAATGTTATTGCCAACTATCCGAAATTAAACTAAGCTGTGAATTGTCATATATTAAGTTAGTAACAACTCAGAATTCACTTATTTGTGGTGTGTGCCCTCTTTTCGATACTGTAGTATTTATCGTCAGTTACACAAGAATGAATTCATTACACATGCAAATACCTCTGAATTCGTTCAGGTCTTCTAGGATCATTGCTGCTGTTTACCGTAGGAGAAGACATTTTTTACCACATTTAATATAAGATGCTTAAAATACCTTAATATATCCCGTTAGGGTTTTAGCAGAAATGTGTTACGCTAATACTCATAACAAGATTTTAGTCATCCTCCGAAAAACGTAAGTCATCAGATTGTTGCCACTCTCTCTTTGACAATTTGTAATTTTAATGATTCGTAACAATCAACAAATAGGCCCAAATAAAAAATGAGAATATATAATATATGCACATTAAAACAGCGAAATCGTACTGAATACTGTTTTCTGATAATTGTAAGTCTTTTTTTTGAATTTAGATAAATAGCAAAGCATATTTAGTTCTCTGATTTCTTTTTAAATAAACCTCGATATCTGCGTAGCTAATGAGAAATTTTCTCATCTATTATGAATAAAAATGGGATGTTTAATTGCTGTTAAAAATCTGCTCTGGCCAGCTAACTTTTAATATGAACTTAAAAGACCTATATAAGGTAACTATTTCAGATTGTATCTAGAGGCGGTTCAAAAACCAATTATTATTTTACTACAACTTTCATTCTTTGTGTATATTATCAATCGAGGTTTGCAGATATATGCGCCGACAAACGCTGAGAGTTTACGGAAGTTAGCGGGTCTCACGTGACCGATGGCAACACTAAGAGGTTACCGTAATTTGCGCCAAAATTGAAAAATGAAGCCAAATGTAATTTTTGGAAGTGAGCAATACAGGTTTTCGCCATATTACTTGCACGTGCTGCTGTGGTAGTAAGGTACGTAGTATTAGCGCTGATATTTTGTGTTTTAATTATCTTATTTTAGTTATGTGTTTGTCTAAGCAATCTGAAAAGATGAAAATACTCATAATCGGGGATTCTATGATTAAATATTTACAAGAATATTTGTCTGCGAATTTACCTGATTACGAAGTTGATTTTCGTTGCTTTCCAGGAGCTAGGATTGAAAGGTTGACACGTGAGATTGCCTTTATGAACAACCATTTTCATTTAGTTTTGGTGCACGTTGGTACCAATAATTCAAATGACGATTTAGATGAAATTCATCCCGTAAATATGGTTGTCTATATAAGGGAATTGAACGATTAAACCCGAAGGTCATTCTGTTTTCAGGTGTTCTCCCACGATGCCCGGATTTATATCGAGATTGTAACACGTATCACCTACAAGAACTTAATAGGAAGATACTAAACATAAATTCAAGACTTCTCGCAACATACGAAGGTAAAGATGGGTTTTTCTTTTGCAGCTCTTTTGATTATTCTTGGAGTACTTGTTTATCCAGAGACGGTTTACACCTAAATCGGAGAGGTAATCAGCAGCTGGGGAAAATTTTTGCTAAAAGATATCAGGATAACTTCGAAGTTTGACTGTTGCAGAGGTTAAGTGCACCATTTTGTTCTACATCCCTTAGCAGTTTCCCAGCATTAACCAGTATTCCTTCTGTTCTGAGTACTCATTTGGGTAGTAATCTTGGTGCTTCTGTTTTCCAAACCACTCTTTTCAGATGTTGTGAAACGTTCTTTAGTTTCCAGTGTTCGGGTTTGTAATTCTAGAGATTTTTTGTGCCATGTTTCTTCTTCTAAACTAAACGCTTTATTCAGATGTTTTAAAGCATGATTGTTTTACTAGCTCTGTTTTGAATACTAATCCCAGTATTCCGAGTTTATCAGATTTTTCCACTTCTTGAATATTCAGTCATTGGCACTAGTGTAAATTTTTTTTGGATCCCCCTCCTTAAGCCACTTTACTCAGATGTTTTAAAACATGGATTTTCTAGTACGAATTTTGGATAGCAGTTCCAGTGTTTTGGATGTATTGGATTTTCCAGCTCTCGAAATGTACTGTCCACACTACATCAGGTGTTTTAAATTCTACTGGATCTCAACTTCCTGATACTGCAGCTATTTCTGAACTTCCTGGAAATTCAGTGTCTAATTCTCAACCTGCAGGCTCTTCGGATTCCAATTCATCATCATCTCATCTTGGTATCAGTTTCAGTTCTTGTACTTCCATGTCGAATTTTCCAGTTTTTGAAGGGTTCATTTGTTTGCTCTGATTCAGATTTGCAGAATGCTACTACATCTGTATCTAAATTTTCTTTTATGTTCGTTAGTCACTTCTCAGCCAGCCTACTGGCTTTTGCGGCTCTGTTTCATCTACTCAGCTTGTCACCGATTCCAATACTTTCCCAGCAGTTGTTGATTCTTGTGCAAATTTTAATTCTTACCATCCATATTTTCATTTTAACAAGTTTTCTATTCTTAAAAATTATTCAGAATGTTCTAACATTAAGTTTGGGGGTGTCAAATGATTCTAATCAGGGTTGAAAGTAATGTACAGAAATCTGAAAATGGGTATGTTGAAGAAAACTGCAAAGTTATTACCTCTGTTAACCCAAATATAAAGACTATAATTTGTCCATGTTGTAAAAAAGATTTTTCTTGTAAAGAAACTTTATTAACACACAAACATAACTGTAAAACTTTAAATAAGGATAATTTATGTACTACCATAAAAAATGGCGACGAGATAGAAAATAAATATCCAAGAATGTGCGAGGTTTGCACGAAATTATATGCTTAAAGACAGTAATTTTTTAATCATAAAAAAAGGTGTAAATCTGTGTCTTCTGAAACTGATTCAAAATCATATATTTGTGACAACTGTGAGATAGACTGTAAAACCCGCAGTAACCTTTTTCATCATAAGAAAGTTTTGCTGTTCTAAAAATAATTTAAATATTCGTAAACCGTGTATTTTTCCTGATTGCAAGGCATCCTTGCGGTTTATTAGTGATCATAATAAACATTTGGCTGAATTTCACAATTGTGAGATGGATGTGAAGGAGCTTACATTTTCATCAATGGTGGAGTTTCAGCTGTGGTTAGAATGTCATTCTAAGGAAACATTCAGTTCTTTTAAGAAAGTGTTCTGGGAGTAACATAAAGGTTAATAAAGCATACCATTATTATTGTTGTCACTTCAATGTAACACAAAAAAAAACCAGTGCCAATTTCAAGTAGAAAAAATCTTAAAGGTTCTTTACCATTAGGCTTCAGATGTCCATCCAGAATTTTAGTTTCTGAGGAACAAGATCTTGTGACAGCTATTTTTTATTCAGGTCACAATCATGAGCTGTCGTTTGAAAATACCCAAATTTCAACAGCTTAGTCAGAAGTTGTCGTGATCAAATCAAAAAACTTATGCTCAGTTAGGTGTTTCCACCGATCAAATTCAGGAATTTATCCGAGATGGAAGTGGATCACGTGATAATAGAGAGAGCTTAAGTATTAAAGATAATTTTGTAACACGTAGGACTATAAATTACTATGTAAAGCGTGTAATGATTTCTTCTCTTAGTGATGATTCACTTTCTGTTGCTGCCATGGTTGAGAAACTTAGGCAGGAATCGTATGACCCTATTCTTATTTACAAACCTCAAGGAAAACCAACATTGTATGGTCCGAAAGGCCTTGACACACTGTCTTTTGCACTAGGATTGCAGACAAAGGAGCAAAAAGAAATGATGATTAAAGGTTGTAGCAGGATTTTATGTATAGATTCTACTCACAAAACAAATCAGTATGATTTTTATTTGCTAAATTTAATTGTCCCAGATGAATTTGGTAGTGGTTACCCCGTAGCACATTTTATTTCAAATCAGTTGGATCAGGATACGATGTACAATTTATTTCTTAGTATCAAATGTGTAATACCTGAGCTTAATATTAATTGTTTAATGACAGATGATGATAAAACTACACATCCTGCATTTGAAAAAGCATTTGGTCCAGGTATTAAACATATCTATGTAAATGGCATGTACATCGTGCATGGCAACGTAGTTTATTTCGAATGGTTTCAAGTCAAAAACTTAGGGATGAAATTTATTTTAATTTAGTTATATTGCTTGAAGAAACTAATTCTTCTTTATTTATTTCTATGATGGATAATTTCCTTCAAAAGTTTCGAGCTGTTGCACCATCATTTATAAATTATTTTGAGGAGTATTATTATTGCCGAGCAAGTCTGTGGTCAATGGCATACAGAAACTTCCCTCATGCATTCACAGATACTAACATGTATTGCGAGTCATTTCACAATAAATTGAAAACTATGTACTTAAAACGTAAATTTAACAGACGCCTCGATAATTTAATTAATGTGCTTTTAAAAATTGAAGAAGATATTTACATGGCTTATAAGTATAAAGTTGAAATTAACTGTAAAGAGAGCATCTACCCGCCAACTTATAATAAACGACATGAATCTGGAATGAAAATACCTGATAGTGATGTAACAGAAACACATCCTTGTTTGTGGTCTATAAAATCACAGACACGTAAAAATATTCAATATACAGTTAAGCGGTTGCATGAACTATGTTCAGAAACAGATCATTGTTATTCAAAGTGTATTAACCTCTCCTGTCTAAATCTGTGTCATCATTTATATAATTGTAATTGTCCAGACTTCAGCACACTATGTAAACACGTACATAAAATACATTCAATTACATGCAGGCAACCAAGTCCTTCTGTAATTGCAACAGATATCCTTAAAGCAGAAAACTCCTCCCCTCCTAGAATTGATTAAAAAATCTAATGCTATTTCAGATACTGTTGTGTGTAACACTGAACCTAAAATTAACACTTGTAAGACTTTAATGTCTGAATTATTAGTTATGTTGCCGCATCCGACAATCCAAAAGATATTAATACCTAGTATAACAAAGAATTTAAAAGATATAGTTTCTAATTGTAAAGGTGCAATAAAATCAAACCATTTGAAAGATTTTTCTGATAAAATGCCATTTACTCAGGTTGCTCCAAATTTAAAATTATCACGTCAAACTCTGTTTCGTACAACATCTATGAAAGGTATAAAACGTAAAATTCTAGATTATCCCGATACTTATAATAAAAAAAAATGTCAAGGAAGGTTTGTTAGGGTTATCAAATAATATTAATGTGAATGATCATAAATCATCACAGGATACCACAATTAA